CAGTTGTTTTGAGATTAAGTCAATTCAGACCGAATGTAAAGCAAAGCCGGCGTTGCATGATGCTACGAACACCTTCCATTGAATGGCGGAACTTCCCGACGAACTTCAAGCGATAAGCGTTAGTGTTGGAACGTGGTCCGACGGTTGTCGGTCTTTTAGAGAGTCAAAGTAAGCCTCGAACGTTCGAAAGACAGAATTCATTTGTGTTGAGAGATCGTATGAGAGGAATGTAAACACCTATTGTTTGTTACAATAGTCATTGATTGTTTTCAATTAGCAATACCACTACTTCAGCTTTTATCATCTTCCTCCGCCATCACTTTCCATCCTTCTAAAATTTTGGATAAAACATTTGGGTTCAATTATCTGATCAAAATTCATTCGGCACTCTTATCTCAATCAACTGACGAGTAGTTGGGCAAATGGTTGTCAGGGTTCGATGCGTCGTATAACGCCGGCTATAGTTAATATTGTTGGTCCAGCTAATACCGCTTTCAATAATGATAAAGTAAACTGATATTGTGAGATTTCTTGATGTGGTCTACCGTGTGATGAAACAGTATTTTACTGATCCTCTCTGCTTTGGCCTATCAGACCATGCACTGAAGATGGGCGAAATCCCGTTAATGATAACGACCCAATTAACTAGAATTGTCGATCCAATGTTGTCCAATTATCTACCAAGTAAGCTTAATTAAGATTGTGGCTGAATTGGGCTTGATCAACCCTTGCTCAGTCACGTATCTCATCTCAGGTGGTTGACCCAAAAGGGGTTTCTTATTGAAATATTTAACTCACCTCATTAGACAATCGACCAACCTAAAATGTTACAGAAACGCATATTAGTCATACTAACTGCCATTGTAAAACAGGCAGAACGAAAGATGGAATTCACAACTAATAAATTACTCAAGTTTATTTATTACTGTGTCGATCTGGGTCTAAAGAGAAAAAAATACATAAGGAGAATACCTTTTCTCCTTGGTGGATATATTGTCGATGGTTTCCGGCCTGATTTTATTATCATTGATCGTGTCGTGAGTTTAGGAATCCACTTGATGCGAGGGTGAAATCAACCCTTATACAATGGGAGTTGGACGATATGCCATCTCGTTACGCTTTACTTAAGGGTCGTTTTGTAACAAAGTTGTACATTTAAATTGTAAATTAGCTTCTGGTCCGATAAGGGATCTCAGCTCCGTCCGGTCAACTGATAGTTTAGCTAATGAAGTCCGTCAGTTTATGGGAAATTTCCCTCTTGCTTCATCGATAACGGAGTGACTTCTTGTCGTTTACTACCGACTAGTCATCCTTTTTGGCGCTGCTTTTCATTTCTCACTTTTTCCAAAGGAACTAATCGGGAACATATTCTATCGTCCCATGTCACAACCTTTGCACGCCACCATCAGCAAGGAGAATGGTACAACTGATGGGCACTAAGGTTTCACTTGCCCAGTTTGGTTCATCGTTCGGATTTTTTCTCCGATCAGGATTCAGGAAATTTTATACACATCTGACAAGTGCGTTAAGAGAAGGAATAGCATAATGGTAAAACAGAGTCAACCAAGCTCTCTCAAGTTTTCTTTAATGTTTCTATTATTTTATAAAGTAAAAAATTGACCTCTGGCCAGGCAGTAAACCGCCCGATGTCCGAGAATAGTCGGAATAAACGCAAAATGATTGTCGGACCTGGACCCCGCGGTTTCTCTAAATTAATGAGGATTTTTTATCCCATTTCCCACCCACACGCCCGGGTGCGCGGGGGTGAAAAAATATAGCCTCACGCCGAGGAGGATTCGAGTACGGCCCAGAAATAAAATGATGTGTGGCTTGTTTTGAGACAGGGCCCTGCCAACACCACCATTAGGGGTGTATTTTTAATTTACCACCAGGGGAAAGAAGGAGATAGAAGAGAGAGGTGTCAGTGAGTTAGTGGGACCAGACCGTTTCCACTCGGTTCGGGATAAATCCGACGGAAATCCAACTTTCAACCACAAATATATTTTTGTGTAAATTTTTCAGCCGAGAATTCCCAATTAAAAAAAAAAAATAGAAATGATGAAGGTTGGGGAGTATGAAAATTCACTTTTTGTAAATGATGGTTCTACAACAAATATGTAAACAACAAATCTGTGAGTAGAACCACATTTACAAAAAGTGGATCTTTTCTTTTCCTACTGTTGTTAAAATATTATATAGGGCTCGTTTCCGTTAAATATATATACCAAAGTGTAGGATGATTATTTTCATCTTTTGAGAGGTTAAAATTCCTTTCCTAGAAAACCGAGTAAATAACTTAGGCCGTTTCATCACGGGCGTTGTAAACATGCACCGATGTCGCCTGCGGTGATGGAAACTGGGCCGTGTCTGTGGACGTGTTCCAACTGGTGGCCGGGGGAATTTTTCTCCCCCGTCAATTTTGAAAGGATGAATCCCCCCGAGGTGGATTCCCGGCCCATAAAATCCATTATTAGACCCAAATGGATCCGAGGCGCCTCCTACACCGACTGGACCGTGTCCAAACAATCGCCTTCCTACCGTTACGCTCGGTCGACTCTAGTTCGCTAAGTTTGACCGTGAAAAAACTTAGTCATCTCCAGGCTCAAGGAATGTCAATTTGCCAATGAAGCAACAATCAGGCTTTGTTGTGAGATTTCCTCATGGTGTCTACGAGGTGATGAACCTACAGACAGAACTTTGCCGATCAGGTTGGCGTGTAAATCTCGAAAAAGGGGAGAGAGATGTAGGTTGAGAGATTAAGAGGGGCATGACGAGAAAAAGATACTAAGCAAGGGAAGGAACGAGAGAGATAGAGGGGGAGATTAGACGATAAGTGGTTGGTTAGATGTCGAATAACATTAAGTAGGTGAGGATAAGCTGGTTAATTAATTCTTCAAAGGCGTCTGATAGGTTTACCATATTAGTCAATAGTCCAAGAGACTTAAAAATGTCTACATAGAATCAGTTGGTTCGTCAGTAATTTATTGTCGTCAATGAGTATTTGAATTGACTGAGAAGAAGAATGACAACAAAAAGAGTATTCGCTGGTTGGTCAAGTATCCAATGGTGTCAAAGTGACCTTTGATCAGGCTGTTGGCCACTCGAGTAAAGACGATAAATTACGGCTAATCTGTCAATTGTTCAAACGTCGTCAAAGTTGGTTTGCCAATTGTTCAATCAAATCAAAGTACGCGTGTTAGCGGCTTAGTCGATTGTCCAACTATATATAAATCGCTGTCGCGTGACCAACTATCAACTACCCAGGTCTGTTATTCTTACGTACACTAAATTGGACGACCCCCAGACCAACTTGGTCATGCTCAATTACGACATAAGGCTAGCCACAAACCGATTGTACGACCCATTTGACGAATTAGGACAATCAACAAACCCTCTACTTCAGGTAGACGTCATTTAACTGCTAACTAGCCAGCTTAGACGCCCTCTTAGACGACATTGTACAATCTCCAAACAGCTTGGTCATGCTCAATTGTACATCATAAGGCAAGTCACTAACCGATTGTACAACCCATTTGATGAATTAGGACCATCAACAAACCCTCAACTTCGGGTAGACGTCATTTAACTACTAACTAGCCAGCTTAGAGACACCCTCATAGACGACTTTGGACAATCTACAAACACCTTGGTCCTGCTCAATTGGACGTCATAAGGCAAGTCACTTTGTACGAGGGATTGTACGACCCATTTGACGAATTAGGACAGTCAACAAACACTACTTCTGGTAGATGTCATTTAACTACTAACTAGCCAGCTTAGAGACGCCCTCTTAGACGACATTGGACAATCTACAAACAGCGTGGCCATGCCCAATAGGACGCGCGCGGTAAGGCAACAGTAACTAAGTACTGACGTCATTGACTAACCAGCTTAGTCACGCCCACTTTGTTATTATTGGACAAAAACTCGCATGGCGTAGTCACTCACAATTCGATATCCCAGAGAAATCTACAAACCAGCTCTAGCTCAGTTGAACAACATTAGGCTAATCACCAGCATATTCACTTTGTCTCTATTGGGCAATTAACAAAACAACCCTTAAGACGACATTGGATAATCTATAAATTTCCTTGACCAATCACACTTTGATGTAATTTTGACTACTAAGTAACCAGCTTAGTCACGCCCACTTTGTCACTGGGCAAAAACTAACAAGGAATAGTCACGCCTTCTTATTCATAATTAGACAGTCACACTTTGACGTCACAGGGCAATGTACAAACCAGTCGCCTATGCTCGCTTTTATCTCTTTAGCTTTTAATATGTTCAGTCACTCCCACTTCGACATTTTAACAGGTCTGACCAGGTAGACACGCCCATCTTGACTTCATTGTAAAATTGCCTACCCAAGGGACCACCTAAGTGCTTATGGATAACCAACAAAACAAACACAGTGAAACGTCCCGTAAGGGAAAGACTCGACCCATTCTATACAGTAAGTAGTTCATCCATTCGACGAAGTGCTAACGGTTCGGCACATAGTTGTCTCGTGTGAAAAAATTCCGCCAAACCCGTGTCCGTACATTTATTTATTATCGAAATAGCTGATATTTCAAAGTGGGGCGGGCATCGACCCCAAGAACATATAAAGTCTTTATTAAATGTGTATTTATACATATTTTGTTATGTAAACGTTGACAATTTTTATTAATTTTGTATTCAAATTCAAAATTTTCTTTTAATAAGAGTATCGGACGTTTCTGCAGTTTAAGGTATGAAAGTAGGGCAACGACCAAAAGTTCATGTCGTGTGATTCAGAGCAATTGAACCAGATGGGTTCGGTTCAATTATCCTTACAACCCTAATCAACATCAGATATAGATAAAAATTGTTGTAAAATTAGTCTATGACAAAGAGCCCACTTCCATCGGTCTACCGGGTCATCAGGGAGTCTCACTGCCCTGGCTATTCATTGTTGTTTTTATGATTGTATATGTTGTTATTTCGTAATTTCATTCATTTTTGTTTTGTTTTCGCAGGCAAACGAAGGGGAAGAAAGGCTGGCCGCCCGACTCGTGTGAGTATTGCATAAGAGACCAACTGTGTCAACTTATATTTAGTGTAGGCATTTGTCGCCGGTGGGGCGAGCGGCCTGGCCGGACCGCGGATCCCACCTGGATACCGGATCAATCAATAACGGATTTTCTTCACAAAATTGACCGACGTGTTAAAATGAGATGATAAACCACCTGGCAAAAGGGTCAATGTGTTGTCTTTTTTCTAATAAAATGACTGAACCAGGCACACTTTCTTTAAATGTATGAGGTTGAGATTGTATTAGCGATTTGTTAATGCTTTTTTACTCAATCGTCTCTGTAGTATCGTGTGAGGAAGTATGGACCAACGGAAATTAATATTAATCGTCGCTTCCCTACCAACCGGGTTAGGCTCCGACCTAGGTCATTTCTGTCCCAATCTCATGCAATCTATAATCTTAACGTGGCTCTGTACATGCGGTATTCGCCGAATGTTTGCCAAGTATCGATGCTTCTCTTGGCGTTCGCCAAATAGCGTGCCTATGTACACACATGCGACGTTTATATAATCTCCTAGTCAATACAGCCAAACGCCGTGCGACCGGTGTCCTCGACTACTACCAGTCGTGATGGACAACAGCGAAACTGTTATTGCACCAGCTGTGGTTACTGTTTTGTGCATTGGCTACAAACTAATTGAAGAAATAAAGCGTAAGAAAAGAAGATGGCTGATGGTATCACTAAACCATCGAAACCTGCCCCGCTTTGACGCTCTCTTTGATTTTTTAAGGTCGATTCTAAACGATTCCATTAGTGAATCCTTCTTTTTTCTTAAATCACTCACAGTGTACTGATGCCCCATCGTTCCGATTTGTATGATTCGTAAGAGAAGCTTTCCAAATAATTGGTTCTGTTTCGTAAACATGGAGGAACTCCAAAACTCTTGGATTGGACCAGTCCTTCCTAATTATAAAACAATGCTATGTTGTTATTGTGTAAATGAATAATCTATTCTAGTTAGGAATCGTTTATTAATGAAAAATAAATAGCATTAAATAGAAGTATACACTTACTGTTGATTTTGATGACAGTTGACAGTTGGTTAAAGGTATGTACGGTTACGGTGGATTCCCGAAAATGTGGATGCTTTAAGTACGGTTACTTCACGAATATTCGTGCACTTTGAAGCAGACAAGAAAACAGAGCTCGGTGAATAACCATCCTATCAGCAGCAACGCATCCATTCCCTCTAATCGGGGTTCGGCGAACCTTGGCTCCGGCCAAGCAAGACAAAGGTGGCTCCAGACATTCGGGATTCTCCGAAAGGTCCGCCGAATCCCGACTAGTGGGGATGGATGCGTTGCTGCAGATATGATGGTTATTCGCCGAGCTCGGTTTTCGTGTGCTTCAAAGTGCACGAATATTCGTGCAGTAACCGCACTCAAAACATCGACATTTTCGGGAATCAACCGTAACCGTACATACCTTTAACCAACTGTCATCTGTTGTCAAAAGCAACAGTAAGTGTATACATCTTAATGCTATTTAGTTTTCATTAATAAGCGATTCCTAACTAGTATAGATTATTAATTTACACGATAACAACACAGCATTGTTTTATGATTAGGAGTGGATTGGCCCAACGCAACAGTTTTGGAGCTCGTCGATGTTTACGAATCAGAATCAATAATTTGGAAAGTTTCTCTAACGAATCATATAAATAGGCTTTCGATGCGTTTCCAAGTACGAGAGGGCATCAATACACTGTGACTGATTAAAAAAAAAGATGGATTCACTAATGGCATCCTTCAGAATCTACTTTTAAAAAAATCAAGGAGAGCGTCAAAAGCAGGGCAGGTGTCGATTGTTTAGTGATACCATCCACATCTCCTTTCCTTACTTTTTTTAAAATTAATTAATTTGTTAACCTAATACTTACTACTTTAATTGGATAGATCAATCGCACAAATAGATACATTCATACATTGCACACATTCTGATTAGTCTATGTAGTACTAGATTATTAGTACATCGACCTATATGCTGTATTAATAATCTAACCTAGATTAGGGTCGATGAAGAACTTTTATCAATTTTCTGCTATCGACGCTAAACAAACACAAAGCTGGAGGGGCGATGATGACAATATTTTTCACCATCACCCCTCACCACTCACATTAAAAAATACACGCATTCAAACTAAAGGCATAGAATATAACAATATACCGTAAAATACCCCCATTTCCTGTTAAAAAAATGGAACGGAGGACCCAGAAACCGACTGTTGTGCTCGAGAACCATTCTTAAATCTGGCGGCATGACAACACGCTCTCTATGTAGCCAAGGCATGACATGCCTCTATTATGTGGGACAATCTTTCTCTGCATAAGGTGCGCGTGCTTTGGACCAAAAGTAGGTGCCCGTGTGTCGACCGCGTATGGCCAATCCTCAATCGAGTGTGGACGATCCCTCGTTTCCTGCTCAGGTTCTCTGACAGCCATCTACCGGTCGTGCTTTTGACTCGTAAGGGCCTCTCGGACAACCTCGCCCTCTGACAATGCCATCTGTCTTTTATCATGTTTTTCACTGCGGGCTATCAGAGGGCCTGATCGCGATGGCCCGGTCAGGAGGGTGGAAGGTCCTAATGCTGTTTATGGTTTTTTTTTTTTTTTTTTTTTTTTTTTTTGAGTTGTTATAATCCAGTAATGTACAATTACAGCTACTAACTAAGTACCATTACACCATGGTAAATTCCATCTGCCTAAGGTGAATAAAAGCATAAACAGGAGAAAAAATGCATAATAATACAAAACGTAAATTTTAAAAAAACTACCAAAGCACTTTAATTTAAAAAAAATAGAAAAAACATAAAATAATAATGAATAAATAAAATTAGAACTGTAATAAAGAAAACAAATTGAAATTAAATCATATAAACATTAAATATTCATTTCATTGGCATAAATATAGCTGTATTGCCATGCGTGTCTACTAAATCCTACAAGCAAAGGTGGCTCGTAGTTCAACTTGTTAATTAATTGGTCTCTAGAAAGGGAACCGCAGCCTAGGTGGAACATGCGTATTTCATTTAAAATTGTACATCGTAGCACACCCTCTCTGACCTTAGAGTTACATAAAGTTCACAATGCAGAAGGGCCCCTCCACCCATGGGGGTGTAATTTAGCCAAAGCAGTTCACATCGCATTTTAAACAACTCAGGTCACTCGGATTTGCGTGCTGATTAGACTCAAACAAGAGGTCAAAATGAGAAACAGAATGATCAAAATCCCTCAAATACAAAAAGCTAGTAGATGCTAGAATAAGCTACACAGACTCTTCTCGATGACGAGTACTCATTGTTGTATGGAGAAAAAAAGTTTTATTTATCCATTTGCCTACTTATCATATGTTGAAAAAATCTAAATACTAATCCTAAGACTAGAAACATAAGTTGGTGACAGTCTGAAAGTAAATAGGACGAAAAGCTTGGCACGTATAGGTAGGTGTACCATCTTTGTCCAAAATCCTAATACTAAAAAAAAACATCAATCGCCTCTGGCCATTGCGCTCCCATCTTCACTCTTTAAGCCCTTACCACTATTTTTTTCTCTCCCTGATTCCATTTCCATCTTTAATTCTAATGTGTGTTCTTAGTGACCTGTTGTTTCATAATTTCTTGAAGTCGTGAGGAGCGATCAAGAATGAGGTAGTTAAGAAAAACACCTTTTTTATTTTTTTGCCAACGTTTCGACCTTTATTCGGGTCATCTTCAGGGCATCAAGTATGGTGCCATTCTTGTGGTGTCAAATTGGGCTTATGCGAAAGTGTTGTGCCAACACAAACAACAGTCACAACACTTTCACACAATATGACACCACAAGAATATATGACACTTACGCACTGAAGATGACCCGAATAAAAGTCGAAACGTTGGCAAAAAAATGAAAAATGTGTTTTTCTAAACTACCTCATTCTTGACCGCTCCTCACGACTTCAACAAATTTAATCTAATTTATCTATCTCAACCTTTTCAATCTCTCCCTCTCTCTCTCTCTCTCTTCTTTCTTTCTCTCTCTCTCTCTCTCTCTCGCGCTTCTTTCTCTCTCTTGCTTCTCTCTCTCTCTCTCTCTCGTTTCTTTCTCTCTCTCTTTCTCTCCTCTTCATTTCTTCTTTTTGTTCTAGTCCATCCCCCGTATATCTTTCTTTCCATCTCCCTACTACTTTCTTTCTCTCGTATTTTTATTTTTTTACATCTCATTGTTTATGGCCGTCTGCCTTTAGCTGCTTTTCTTGAAATCTTCCTGCCTTCCCCTATTTTCAATTTTGATAAAAGGAACCACATTATATTTTATACGTTCTAAATGTATTGTTGGCAATACTATCTTATATATCATTCTCCAGGCTGAATTACGCACAAAATTCGTTTACATTTTGGTATGACTATGTAGTTTGTGGTGTAACTGATAATAGTCATACCTACGCATGGAAATGTGTGTAGTTATAATAGTATAGCTTTCGTATATGCTTTTTTTTAAATTAGGTTTCCACTATAAAGATCAAACGAAGCATGTACGATCAATATTTTTGAAAGTGTTTTTACGGTGATAGCGAGGGGCGTTCCTCCTCTGTCGGAAATTTCCCTCACAGCCCTCAGCAGCGCTGATATTTCAAAACGACAGGCGTCAGCCCAGTTTTATTTATATAAAATACTTTCGCGCGAACCGTCTCCATATCCGTTGGGACTATTCTAGATGGAGAATCAAAAACGTCCGACGAATTATCACCTCTTTTTGTGCATTCACATGCAGATTGTAAATCTTCCGAGGACAAGGAGCTAAAATATCTATTAAAAAAAGAAAAAAATCCGCACGCGCTAAGCGGTGGAGGGGAAAAGTGCGATATAAATATAAATAAAAGTCCGAGGCATAAATTTAGTATAAATCGGCGCAAAACCCCGTATCCGTTCGGCGGTTCAACGCCCTTCTCCAGGGCCGGCTGTTTAACATAAAACCCTAAAAACAAAAACACCTACACTTGGCAT